CGAACTGGTTGCATAGTCAACGTGCTCGCCATCCACCCCATCACCGGCGAACGTCACAAGGTCATCGTGGACAGCACCAACAACGGCGATGTGTCCACCCTGGCTGAGGACCACTTCACTGTCCGCGTCGTGAGGAGGTACCTCCGTCTCAAGGGGCGGCTCGGTGAGGTGACTCTCTGTATGCTAAGCGAGGAGCTCGTCGGTGCCATGAGGCTCGCCGATGTCAAGAAGCTCATGTTTCGCATCAGGGCAGTCAGACTTGCTGTGCTGAGGCGGTCCAAGGCAGCGAGGATGTCCACCGCGCCGGAGCTGCTGCCAAAGTTGGCTCACCTAGGCTCTTTCTTCCGTGCTCCAGCAGCCCTGGCGACAACACGTGAGCACGGGGTCAAGTTTGCAAGCCATCTCGTCACGCTCGGCTCATCGATCATGAACTAGAGGGAGGAAAAGACTACCACGCTAACCATGTTTGGTTAGCCAGATTTCACCAAATTTTCTCGCAGAGTTTTGTCAAACTTGAGAAAAATTTATCATAGCTCAAATGCTCGATCGGTCGAAACATTTTTATTTTAATAATTTTCATTGAATAATTCGGTCCAAGTTATTGGATGGTTTTGGAATTGTAAACGGAGATCAGTTATTCCGAATAATCGATCGCATTTTCAAATATGAATTTTGATTTGGAATGATTACATTAACAATTAACTGTGTAATGGATTTGAATTTTAGAATTGGCCATATTTGCCCTTGAAGGTTTGTCCCACGGTCCACATCGGCGGCACGATGTCGCCGAACACGATGGCGCTGCCATCGCTGGTGGCGACGCGGGATGAGAGGCCCTGGTCTTCGAGCCGTACGTCGCCGTTCCAGATCATCGCGGGACCCACCACTGGCTAGCATTATTTGCAAATGTAATTAATATGTAATTATAGTGATTGATTTGTGCGTAAAGATAGAGACGACGATCGAGTGAGCTTAGAGCAAGTATAACAGTAAGTTATAAGCCAACTATAAGCTTACGTGGAGGAAAGAGAATTTGAAAAATGGGGAGAGTTGACTTTCATGTAAGAGCTAACTATTCACATACTTCAAAATAAATATATTAAATGCATAAGTAAGAGATAGAGAGAGGAGGAGAAAAAAAAGATAAACTTATAGTTCATTTATTATACATGTTAACTTTAATATAATGATTATTATTAAACTTGCTCTTAATTCTGTAACGTGTCCATCCACCGGCCGTCGTCGCGGGGGCCTTGACGGCCGGCCATGGGCGCGGACGTCCATTTTGCGCAACCACCACGGCAGTTCATGTTCGCCTTCATTTTGCGTCGTGTAGAGATGGCGCTGGTGATCGATAAGCTAATTAAGCTAGCATCAATTACAAATGTAATTAATTTGTAATTATAGTGATTGATTTGGGTGTAAAGATAGAGACGACGATCGAAGTTAGCTATATGCAGGGTTGCAGCTTAGTTGGCGACAAAATTGCCATTGAATTAGACTGGCTGTGTTCGCCAGTAGACTTTCCCAACCGGAAGAGTATTTGCGGAAAGCGGAGCGGTCTATTAGCACGCGATTAATTAAGTATTAGTCATTTTTTTAAAAAAATGGATTAATTTGATTTTTTTAAGCAACTTTCGTATAAAAAGTTTTTGTAAAAAAAAATACACCGTTTAGCCGTTTGAAAAGCGTGCGCGCGAAAAACGAGGGAGATGAGTTGGGAAAAGGGAGTCACGAACACACCCTGGGCAATGCTTATCATGCATATGCATATACGTTTGGTAGTACTACATCCGACTTTTTCTTCTATAAAAAAACACTTGAATTTGGCAAATCCAGGAAATGTTATGTTTGTTGGCAATTGAAATCTACATGATATTCTCCCTTTTTTTAAAAAAAAAGAAAAACAAGAAAGTACACACGCACGACACACTCATGAACCTGTGAAATCGTCTCTCTAACACATAATCAAAGAATATAAAAAAGTTAGGTACAATTTCATGGTGGACGAAGCTATGCCCATTACTCTGCATGTCATACTTTTGATGCTTTTCTAAGTTTCTAGTGGACTTTGATGGTGGAAACAACTTATTCTACTCTTTCGTTTCGCAGAACGTTTGTGTTTTTAGATAATGGATTTCATTCCACCCTTTGCTTCAAGGTAGCTATAGCCAATTATTATAAAGTTTGTAGGTCGAACATCTACGAAACACTTGTGTATATCTGCATTAGACAACAGTGCAGATATTTTCAATTTTCAATATGCTGTGTATGATGTGAGTATATGTATGGAGTGGCAAATAAATACTAGTTATAAAGTCTTATGATTTTTTTGCCATCCTAGATTTAGTAGAACAACGTGATAAAGGGCGGATTTTTTAGTTGATAAGTTTTGAAATTATTGAAGATTCGCTGCATCTTTCACATTTATTTTGATACAATCCTCTTGATTGTAGTGATGCTGGCTAGTATTTAATCACTACAATTACTTAGCATATTAACTATACAACACATACAAACAAATTATCTAGTCAATGTTAATATAAGTATGCAGTTGAGGAGAACTAGCATGAAATGAAGCTATTTCATTTAAAGGACCTTTTGCTTCCACCTGTTTTTCGAAGGTAAAACTGAGGCCTCACTATCTCTCTGTGCGAGTGAGAGCAATTAATTTGGAAATTAGTTCACATGCCGTCCACTAATTTTACGTCGAGTTTGTATGACATCCCTAATCTGCAATACCAAAATTGTTCACCCCCTAAACTATATAAAACCGTGCAATTTTCGTCCCATGGCAGTATAGATGTATGGTTTGGCTGATGTGGCATCCTAATCAACAAAATATAAAATAAAAAGTTATAGGGCCCACCTGTAAGTGAGAAGAACAAAAGTGGAGCCCACATCTCTTTTGTCTTATCTCCTCTTCTCAAAGCAGAGCGGGCGGCTGGCAACGGAGGGGGCAGCATCGGCAAAGGTAGCCGGAGGAGGAGCGGAGCAGCGACGGCAGAGCGGAGCGGGCGGCGGGCGAAGCAGGCGGCGAGCGAGGAGGGGACAACAAGGACGAAGGTGGCCGGAGGAGGAGCGGAGCAGCGACGGGCGCGAGCTCCGTCGGCATCGTCCTTCATGGCCGCTAGCTTCGACGTCGCGGTCGGAGAGCTTGACGGGGATGGCCATGTCATAGAGGACCTCGACAGTGCGCAACGAGCAGGTGGAGGGCATCGACGACCGCAGTGGGGTGGGCACCATCGGAGAGGAGGGACTAGGCGCGGCGGAGGAGGGATCTGGCGAAGACGATTTCTCTCTAGGGTAGCGGCTGACGGCCAGCGATGGCGAGGAGAGGGCCGGCGGCGATCCCAATCTATGAGGTGGAGCCTCTCCTCCTCTTGTTCAACCTCTTCACCCTCCTCGGCACCATTGGCAGCCGCGACAACTTTGTCGTCGATCAGCCGGCTACTGGCCTCGACAAGGCCGTCATCGCCTTCTCCATCATCAGCGAGATCGTCACCGGCAAGGTTGCCCTCACGCAGCTCAACATCGAGACCAGCATCCCCGTCACTGAGATTGAGTCGCTCGTCCTCTTCAACGTGTCCTCCACCATCACCACGCCGGTCACCGGCCGCCACTCCCCCATCTCCCATTGGCCGCCTCTCCCACGCTCTCCGGCTGGCCACGTTGGAAGAAAAGAGAAGAAAGAATAGAACGGCTGTGATGTGGGCCTCACATACTTTTTTTTATTTCTTTTGCTGACTAGGATGCTACGTCAGCGAAACCACACATCTACACTGTTATGAGACCTAAATTGCACGCTAGGTGAAGATTTTTGGTATTGGGGATTAGGGATGTTATACAAACTCGACGTAAAGTTGAGGGACAGCGGGTTAACTTATGGGGTTGTTTGGATGCTTGTTTCAATTTACCAAACTACTATAGCTAAGGTGTGGCTTGCCATAATTTATGTGGCTAAGAAATTCTTGGCTACAAGTTAGGCAAATGTTGGCAAAGATATGTGCGTATGACAAGTGGGGTCACAAAATAAAAAAAGTGTAGCATGACAAAGATGTGGCAACCAAGCAAACACTAGGCTAAGTTGGTCAAAGTAGCTTGCCAAAGTTGTGGCAAAGTATGGTCACCATCCAAACAACCCCTTACTCCATTAATATGAGACTAGATTTTTATGGGCTTGAAATGGAGGCCCATCATGTAAATTCCGTGTTTAGATGATTAAATAAGTCTAATTTGCCTCCATCAAGGGGAGAGGTGAGAGAAGATATGATGGATGAAGACACTGGCACGTGGGATTCACATGTTGACTTAGCTAGTCAACGGGGTCAAAGTTCCCACATCGAACGAAACGCCTCCGAAACCAGCGAAGGAGACGATTTGCACCGGTTTTTAAAAATAGAGGAGATGATAAACCAAGTTTTACAGTTGAGGGATACGATTCAGAGCAAGAGTTGAGAAATGCAAAATATACTTATTCTATCTCCTCAAGCCGAGCGGTACTCTCTATAGGTGGCCAAATGGGCCAGGCCGAGATATGCCGGCCCGGGCACGATAGCACTGTAGCCGGCCTAGGCACGACAAGGCATGGCCCAAGTACGAACATGACCCGTCGGCTCACAAAATTTTTCCCATTTGCCCTAATATTTTCATATATTCTGTCTATTTTCTCTCATTTTCCTCAATTTTTCCATATGTTGTTTTCTATCTCCCATTTACATCATTTTCCCCCATATTTTACTGCTTTCCCCTTTACTTTTCCTTTTTCATTTCTTTTCACATTTTTCTTTTTTGGCCCTCATATTCAAATTTTGTGGGCCAAACGTCCTAATGGGCCTACACCAGCCCACGTGCCATATTTGGGCCCGTTCCGGCACGCACGGCCCGTGGCCTCCTGGGCCGTGCTTGTGCCGAGGCCTTAGCACGTAGGTAGGCCGGCGGCCCATTTGGCCACCTATAAGTACTCTCCGACAACCTCTCGGCCCTTCTGCCACAAATTCTCACCGACATAAAAAAAACCAAAAAAAAAAAAGAAAAATCAGAATCGAATTTTGCCCTCAGAACGAAACGCCTCGTCTCCCCTTCCAGGCGATTAGGGTTTCGCCCATCTTCCGGAGGCGCGCCTCGCCGCCGCCACCGCGGCGATCCCGCTCCGTCCCCTGCAACCGACCTCCCGCTCGACCAGGGCCGTCAAGCCTTCATCCACGCGCGAGCGGCGTCGCGTAGGCGGGGGGTCCGAGCGAGCGCTGAGCGAGGCGTCCGGAGGGGATCGATCCATCCCGCTCTAGGGTTCGCGAGCGTCTCGCGTGTGAGTCTCTCTTATCTAATCCTCTCAATCTCAATCTGTCTAGGCTGTAGATTTATGTACCACCCTGTTGCTAGTTTTTGTGTCCCGTTTAGGTGCTTGAAATTAGTGATAGATCCTTTAGGGGTGGAATCGAATCATGTAGGTAACAGCGGAATTTCTGGTGAAATTTGGATGGTTGGTGGTAGGCTATCAACGAGGTTATCTAATTTTTTTGTTCAGCTAGCTAGAATTGAGGGAACTGTGCAGCATCGAGATGTGGAAGGTTTAATTGTTTTAGGAAGAGTAAATGAAAAATCACATCGTCCCATTGGGATGCAGTCTAGGGCAGACAAGCTTGTACAAAAGTTCAAAGTGTTGCAATAGCTCGTTTCGTTGGCGCGAAACAATTAAAACATGCACAGACCGCTGGCAATGTGGTCAATTTGGCTGATTCGGCTGCCAGCTCAGCAAGCATGCAAGGGGTGGGCACGAAAGATTTAGAAACTTGGAAAAGCCTCCCTACATTCCTGTTCCGTGCCATATGTGCGCCATTTGTGCGGGCTGTTTTGGCTACACGACACGCCAGAGTGAGTAGTAATCAGACTCTGGGTCAACCTAATTAATGCTACAATTTCCATTGGTTTAGGTATATAGGTAGGCTATGCTGTCATTACTGGTTTGATCTACTGATATTGCAATTTCATCTCATGTGTAACATGAGAAATGGGATTTAGCTATTTCAGGTTCAGGCTAGTTTACATGTGATTAATTGGTGTCTAATGAAACAGAAGATCAGCAGACATACACCCAATAGCTATAGCCATAGCTTTAGCCTGTAGAATATTCTGCAAAATAGGTTCCTTATGTTTCAATTACGTTAAGGTTGATCAAACTAACAGTACCTTTTGTGCTTTTGTTCAGGTTTGCATTCGCTGAAAGATGGAGATACAAACTTCAGGGAAGCCCATTGATCTGCTGATGGAGAAGGTTCTTTGTATGAACATTATGTCTTCTGATTACTTCAAGGAGCTCTACAGGCTGAAGACCTATCATGAGGTCATTGATGAAATATACAATCAAGTTGATCATGTGGAGCCTTGGATGACTGGCAATTGCAGGGGCCCCTCCACTGCATTCTGTCTCCTCTACAAGTTCTTCACCATGAAGCTTACTGTCAAACAGATGCATGGTTTGTTGAAGCATCCTGATTCCCCATACATTAGAGCTGTAAGTTCTTTGCCCCTATTAACTTTTATCACACTTTATTAGATTTAAGATTAATGCATGCTTTCTGTTGTTTATCAAGTTTTATTGGAGTGCAATGATAAACTAAGATTTTCAGTATAATTGGTGTGTACAAACAATCCAAATTTATTTCCTTCAAATTATAGTTCTAACACATAATATCTGTTTCTACATTTTGGTTATATCCACTAACAGTCCTATGACTTGCTTCGTTGGATGGCCTTGTGTATTGGTTTTGGTCCTAGGACACGTGGATGACAAAGTTTCCAAGCAGTTCATAGTGTTCCAGTCTGTTCATTGGAGTTGTGAGCATTTTTTGTCTTTATTTATTCTGTTGATGAATATGATGCTTTCAGTAAATAACCAACCGGTGTTGTGTTGCAGATAGGGTTCTTGTATCTTCGATATGTTGCAGATCCGAAGATCTTGTGGACGTGGTATGAGCCCTACTTGAAGGATGATGAGGTATTGACATTTTCTTACATCTATGTATTTATATATAACATCTGCCTTTTGATAATATGTGGACCTCCAGTTACATAAGAGGAGAAATCATTAGAGAGCTTTTTGACTCACTAGTAACTTTGCCAAGTATGATGCCCTAAAATGGGCACATGAAAAATATTGAAACATAAACCATGCAATAAGAAGTAATCATTGTGCCACCTTTTACTCTGTCTAGTCCATATGATTACATCAGATATATGAGTTGCTTTTATTTAAATTTATGTTCTCATGCAGGAATTCTCCCCTGGATCTAATGGTCGCATGACAACCATGGGTGTTTATGTGCGTGATCTTATACTTGGACAGGTCTGCCTCTTCATTCTTTGTGCTTTCAGTATAGAAATAACCAATAAACACACTTTTTCTCTTACAAATTAACAGTTGTTGTGCTAAAGTATCTTTTAAATGAATAACACTAGCAGATTAAAAAGAAAGTTTCTGCTTTTTGATGACTAGTGTGCTGTGCTATGATGACTTGATTCACATACGCACTCGATCACTACACATTATTAAAATAATCTCCATGTTATGGTGATTCACATAAGTTCATTTCATTTGTTCAAATGTTTGTGAACATTTTTTAAATCTAATTCTATTTGGTGTATGTTCAGAAACTTTGCCAACTAACTGGACATTCTTGGCCAGGCAAGTCATAGTTCCACAACATAGCTTGTTAGTAGTTTTTATTCTCCTTACTTCCCCCCAGATTGGTAGTACTCCATAAATTTGCTTTAAGCTTTGTTGCTTGCTGATTTTCATTATCCATTTATCAGAAATGAATTGAATCCTCTGACTGCAAATTTTGACTAGCAACTATTTCCGATGCTCTTTCTTATAATTGATTAACCTGCTGTTTGTCTTTTCTTGGTGTAGTACTACTTCGATAGTCTTCTTCCAAGAGTTCCTCTTCCAGTAATTCGTCAAGTGACATCCAATCTTGAGAAGATGAAGTTGCCCACTAAGCTTTCTGGGATTACTGGAGAGTCTAATCGTCATGGATCAGAAGATACTGCCCGCCGGCCTCCTTCCGTGAAGGCTTCTCTGTCAGTTTCCTTTGGACAGCGTGCTCCGCATCGTGCATCCACACGGGAGTCATCTCCAGTTCGGAGGACAGTCACCCATGATGGCCATCGTAAATCTTCCTCACCATCTCGCCGTAGCGGAAGCCGCGAGGTTCCTGATCGTGATCGATCAAGCCGTGACCGTTCTAGTCGTGACTATGACCGTTCAAGCCATGACCGTGATCGTGACCATTCCAGTCGTGACTATGACCGTCCAAGCCATGACCGTGACCGTGATCGTGACCGTTCCAGTCGTGACTATGACCGTTCAAGTCGTGACCGGGATCATGATAGAGACATCAGAGACTATCATCGGCGTGATCGTGACAGCAGGGACCGTGACTATAGGTCTAGGCATTCATCCGAAAGACAAGATGACCGAAGGGACCGTGACCGTGAGGGTAGCAGGCACAGACGGTCCAGCTCTCGGCACAGAAGCAGAAGCCGCAGCCGCAGCCGCAGCCGCAGCAGAAGCAGGAGCCGCAGCAGAAATGAGGAGAGATCCAGTCCTTTTGGCAATGCAGGCAAAGAAAAGACTGCTGCCATCTCGAGCAACCTAGCAAAGCTCAAGGACTTGTATGGTGATGTAACTGAGAAGAAGGACGACGGTGAAGCCCCTCGCCGTGATTCGTGCGCGGAGGAGGTTATCAGGTTGGGTGGCCCGAGATGGAGATAGAATTTGTGACTGTAACCCTGTTGTTCCTCAAAGAACCTGATATGTTGTCAGTACACCTTTTCTTTCATCTGCCAGTTTCTCAAGAAACTTGTTAATACTTGGCATCTCAAAACACCTTACTATAATATGTCAACAATGGTAGTTTGTATGGTATGGATGGATGACATTGATACATGTTGGTTCCCTATGTTTTAGTATTATACCGAACTGTTACTTATCCCATGGAGCTAATTCTTTATTTCATTTTCACATTTGAATTGGATTAGAAGATGCCAAGCTAATGCAAATCTGAAAATGACATGCATCATGCGCGTTCTCGGGTCGTAACTATCATATGGAAAGATGAAATTCTTTGACACGTCATGTGAGAGCCACATGTGAATAAAAATGGCGAGATTTGCATCGTCATGCATTAGGTTTACTAAACACGCTAGCTGCTCCCGAAAATAATTATACTTATTAGGCGGTAAGATATGGACCACGACTTTGTTTTGTATACTTTTGTTTATCTTTATATAAGAGGAAGCTCCGACAAAGATCATGCACAAGTCATTTTGGCTAAGATTGTTGACGGATTAGTATTTCTTCTTTCTCAAGCCCCTAGCTATCATGTTGGCAATTATGCGAAGTGCCAAGTCAAGAAGTGCCTAATCTGCACTGCCAATTGTTTGATAGTATTTGTTACCAGACAAATATTTTTCTTGAGGGAAAATGCACAGTGTTTTACTTCCAAACATAGAGCTTGCTTGGATAGCTAAACTTTCATCTAATGCTTAATTTAAAGTTTCTTAAAAGAGAATAACCTCTTTACTATTCCTTTTTTTAAAAAAAATCTCATGGATTACCATACCTTTTAAAAGTCCTATTTGGAACATAAAGTTTCATAGTACTGGTATACCACAAGTATATAATAATTCTAACGGTAATTAGAGTAATTCTCCGTTGTTCCAAACTTGTCCTGGTTCTAAATCATATGAACAAAACCTACTTGATCCAGTGTTTAAATATGTCACTTATAGACGGAGGATACACATATTAGATATTAGTCATGTGCATATTTTATATATTGAATATATCACATCCTACTTGATCCAGATTAATTTATTCTGGACTGAAGATAGTACTAGAAGAATTCAGGAGCATGGTTTATCAAGGTTGTGTTTAGTTCAGCGCAAAGTTTGGATTTTGGTTGAAATTGGAAATGATGTGACTGAAAAGTTGTGTGTGTATGACAGGTTGATGTGATGGAAAAGGACTGAAGTTTGGATCCAAACTTTGAATCTAAACATAGCCCAAGCTATTAAACAGTAGGTCTTCTATAATAACTTTCTTTTTCATAACATTGTTCAATCACATTATCAACTTGTAATATTTAATTCGTCTACATATACTCTCAAATAATTATCATAAACTCATAACTGGCTATTCCCCACTTACAACAAGAGAATACAACCCTATCATTTCACCTATACTTATGCTTATTTGTACCATTTAATTAGCAAATAAAAAATAATTTATAGGAAAAACTTTTAAATACATGTTTTTAGAATATTAAAAACAAATACAATAAAATAAATCATGACGAGAAAAATCATAAAACCAACTATTAGAAAGTTTTAGAATTTAAATTTTACTCCCTACATTTCAAATTATAGCAATCTAAAACGCATGGATTTAGGGTGTGTTTGGGGAGCTTCTAGTACTACATCTTCTCATGAAATCAGAAGCTCCCCAAACATTTCAGCTTTTGCTCCAGATTATAAAAAATTGTAATTGCCGAATCTAAAAAAAAATAAACTAGAAGTTACAAATTCTTAGAAGCTAGCTATCAACCATCCACTTCTCAGGTTTTTAAGCTCATCTAAACTGACATTTAACCTAATACTATAAATTTACATATTTTTTTAATCCAAATTCTAGGTTGGATTTTTATTGGACGGTATACGAAGCCAAACCATCGGGCCAACATGCTAGGCATGTGCCTCCACCACGTGTCCCATAGCCCAATCCCAGCCTTCCGATGAAGCGGGCCCACGAGATCCGCACCGCCCATTCGAACCGCTCAATCCCCACCGTCCGATCCGAGACGCGTTTCAGCGAGCGGCAAACGATGGATACAGCTCACCCTTCTCTTCCCCCACACCCCAAAAATTTTTTTAAAAAAAGCATATCCAAAGATTCCTACCCAAAAAAAAGAGCAGATTTTTTCCCTTTTTCCAAATATACTTCGCCACTGCAACGCAAAGGACGAAGAACTCGAGTCAAGTCGCCGACTTTTGGAGTTCTCCTCGCCCCAGCTCGGTAAATTCCTTCGCTTTTTCTCCGCTGGTTCGGAGATTTCCATGTTCACTTTTGTTTTTTTTTTTAATTAAGGGCTTTGCTTTGATGGAAGGGTTGGGTACTGGTTCCTTCCCTCCGGATCAATCTTGCTTCTTGCGCTCACCCAACCTAGTAATTTTTTCCTCTCCCGATTTGTTTAATGCTAATCTAGGTGGTTGATGATGCTTGCGAGCCAGGCATTGATTCGGCTTTAAGCTTGCCTGCTTGCTTCGCCGTCTTGTTCTTTGAGTTCTTGGTTTTCATGGATCCTTGATCCGATTTAGGGGTTGCTGCTGCTAGCCGTGGTTGGTGAGACGGTTCTTGGAGAAGGGGGATTTCTTGAGGTAGGTGGTAGCGGTAGATTTCCTTTCTGTTCTATGCCCTCTTCAATTGAATTTTTGGAAGTCTCCAGCGTTTTATTTTTGGAAGTTTTGTAGTTTGTGAAACTAATTGATGAATGAATGTGAGGGGAAATTGGTAGATTTCGTGTTGTGCTGCTACTAGACCATTTCCTGACCCATGTGGCATGGGAGCCATTTGATTGTTATTCTCATTGTGGAGGTTATGAGTTGATATTTCCAGATTTTGTGCATGAATGTTCAAAATGTTTAGTTCTGTTTCGTTAGGACTTCAAATAGGTAGAATTAGTTAGTGTCTTGGGGCTGCATGGAAGAAGATTGGAAGAATTTAATTTGTTACATTAGAACTTCAAATAGGCATTGTTGTTGTAGGCTCAAACTTTTACATTGTACTGTTATCTTCATCTACTCTGACTGATGTCCAAAGAATGCACATGCCCAGCTCGTCCCTGTCTCTTGATGCTTTCGGTTTGTTCATAGTTTATATAAATTCTTGGGTCTCATTAGCTATGTACTATAATTTAATAGCTAGTGACCACCCTGATGTTTCTGTAGCATGCTATCAGTGGGTATATCGACCTGTTTATGTTGCAATTGATGACCATTTCACATCTTGTTCTGTCATGTGCATTCCACGATGTTTCTTTCATTGTGATGAAGATGAATACAGTAACAAGATGCAAATCAAAACATTGTTTTCTGTGTGAATCATATATCCTCTCTATAGTGGTTTACAAACACCCCTGGGTCATTAGGAAAGCACCCAAAGTTTTACTTGCTATTGAATATGGTTTAAACATAGCTTTTTCATACCAGTTTCAGGCATAAGTGTATATTATGTATGTTCGGTAAAAATAAGTGTATATATTTATTCCGTATGTGCTAATCTTAGGAGCTTGTGATCCCAGAGAATTTATTCTAATATTCGATAAGTAGTATATGCATATGGTTAGGGGTGAAAACGGTAACGGTAATTACCGGCCGACCGGCGTTCATTTTCGACTTTCTACCGGCCGAGCCATATGGAAATGGTAATCGACCGAAACAAAAATGGAAATGGTAAAAAATATGGAAATGAAAACGGAAATGGTTTTGCTGTTATACCGATCGTTTCCGTATTTACTGTATTCTTGCGGAAATTACCGTTTCTTATAATATGGTAATTACCGTATTCTAAATATGTCGATATTATAGGACATGTTTATACTTGACCCACAGCTTATAGATTGAATGACTCTTCAATAAAATCTCTAACTTTTGTACATGGCTAAAATGAAGTTAATTTATAATTTATATAGTATAAGCTTGAATTTATGTATATATATAACATACTTATGTAAAGTTAAATATATGTTTTTATAGTTTAATGTTTCCGTATTTGTTACCGATTTCCGATCTGTACCGACATGTTTCCGTCCGTATTGTTCCGTTTCCGGTTTTCCGATATTTCCGATATCGTTTTCGTTTCCGACTTTACCGTTTCCGATTTCGTTTCCGAGAAAAATATGGTTACGGAAATGGTTGAGGCTGTTTTCCGATCGTTTCCGACCGTTTTCATCCCTACATATGGTATAGAATTTATTTGAGAATCTTCTCCATATTTTTGGGTGGTGCACATGTATTGTACGGTTGAGTCTAACAATGATGTTATGGCACACATTTATACACAGACTTGCTTGTCCTCACAAATCAAGCCATTAGTATGAATCACCAGGTCAGAGCTCAGAGCATAAATTTCTAAGCCTAAGAGCACCTGTCAGATAAGCAGGATTTAGTCTTTTACGCTAGCTCAATCGTATCTTAGTGACAATTTAGGTCTGGTTTGGATTGGCATCAATCTGCGGCCTACTAATATTCTGGTTGCTTTGATGGTACCTTGTTGATATTTGGATTGAAGCCAATTTTTGCCTACAATACGAAAATTTGACTAATAGCTAGTAACAAATCTACTCTACCAAATTTGCTAGTGCCAAAACTTGCCTAGGTTTCGGCACTACCAACATTTTGGTAGGGCTTTAAACCAAACCGACCCTTAAAGTCATGTCAAGATGCTGAAACAAACAAACCATCCCTTTTTCCTAATGCTTTTGATAGGCTTCTGTATACCACATTGACCAAAAGGCAATCAACAAAATCACGTTTGGCTTATTATGTTTGCCATGTCTTACTACAGAAGATAACAGGCTTGGTTTAAGGGGGCTAGATAAATATGTAATTGATCTCCAGTGTTTTTTTTGTTCAAGTTGAGTGAAGATGACCTGATCCTGTTGGGAAAATAAATTGGATTAAGTGGATTTGATAGAGTGATATTAATTTTAATTTGATGCAGGTGCTTTTCTGGGAGGTGTAACCAACTAAATTCCTATGCTACCTTCTGGTTGATGGCCGTCCCTCCTGTTGAATCAGAAACAAGAAGTGAAGAAACAGATAATTTCCCTTTACTTGCAGACCACATGGAAAATACTGGACATCATGCACATGCAGTTGATATCCCATGGGATTCTTCACCATCGACATCTCGCCGAGATAATCATAATGGATTTGATCAATTACCTCGTATCTTAGAAGGTTCTCCTGGGACATCTACTCCATCTAACTCTCAGAATGGTCCTCTAGCAAGAAGAGATGATAATCGTGGTCGTCGTCAGCCTAGTCCCTTGAATTCTGGTTGCTGGATCTCAGTTGAGCTAGTTGTAAATGTTAGCCAGATCATAGCAGCTATTTGTGTTCTGTCAGTATCAAGGAATGAGCATCCACACTCTCCGTTATTTGAGTGGGTCATTGGTTATACAGTAGGTTGTACTGCCACGCTGCCTCATCTTTACTGGCGCTATCTCCATCGCAACCTCCCAACCACTGGGCAAGAGCCAACAGTTCAGAATATCCCTCCAAACAACACCCCTGAAGCTAATTCATATGGAGTAACCGGCACAAATGGAGTCTCAAGAAACAATGAGGCAACAGTAAATCCAAGGTAACCGATTCTTCCAACTGAAGTCTTTTTTTTGTTTTTGAAATTGATTTGTCTGCATATATCTAGTATCTAGACTCTATGGTACAAGGCATGTTAACCAACTGCACTAGTAATTATCACAATTTAAGATATTAGGCCTACACAGGAATAACTAAATTCTGTTGGTTGATCACAACTAAATTCGTATAGAAATATTTGATCACTGCACTCCTATCAGAAGTTCTGTTATTCAGGTTATATTTCATATGCAATAAACTACGTATGGTCTTCCAGAGATTTAAGTTTCCCATGTTTTATTAACTTTTCCTTTAGTCCAAGTTCTGAGCTACAGTCTTACCATTTGTTTTAGGTTCCAAGCTTTTGCTGATCACTTCAAAATGGCTCTGGACTGTTTCTTTGCTGTGTGGTTCGTTGTGGGAAATGTATGGGTATTTGGTGGACATTCTTCTGCTCACGACGCGCCCAACTTGTACAGGTATGATGCTTGCCTACATTGTGTTGTAGATCTGTGACTTAACCAAAAATTTATTTGGATGTTTCATCATGCAATATTTCTTCCCCAGGTTGTGTATTGCCTTCCTCACATTCAGCTGCATCGGCTATGCTATGCCTTTCATCCTCTGCGCATTGATATGTTGCTGCCTACCCTGCATAATCTCTATCTTGGGATTTCGGGAAGATCTAAACCAAAACAGAGGAGCTAGTGCGGAAACAATCAATGCCTTGGGAACATGCAAGTTCAAGTCAAAGAAAACTCGTGATGGAGATGGAAACGAAGTTGGTGTCGGTGTTGTGGCTGCTGGAACAAACAAGGAGCGAGTCATTTCTGCAGAAGATGCTGTGAGTTTTTCTCCCAGACTCTTTTATACTTCACAACTAAAATCTAGTTATCTCCTCTTGGTGCTCTTAGTTTAAAATTAAGGGGTGCTCTTGGAATTGCAGGTCTGCTGCATCTGCTTGGCCAGATATGTCGATAACGATGATCTCCGAGAGCTCCCTTGTGCGCACTTCTTCCACAAGGATTGTGTGGACAAATGGCTCAAGATAAACGCGCTGTGCCCCCTTTGCAAGGCTGAGATAGATGGTGTCTCCACAAGTGCTCCAGCCATTGGCTTTGGGCGTCGCCACAGCGACAACAGGGTAGGAAACGACATTGAATCACAACTATAACTCTCTTCCCACTTCGTTGGCAGCGTGGATCACGCCTTTGATGAGGCCTTCCACACATCAACCTGTAAATTATAGAGGTAGACATCAAGATGTAAAGGGTCCTCTTACGATCCAACAAAGTTCTTTTCTGAATGACTACTGCCTCCACTGTCAGTATATATTGCTTCCAGCATTTGTTTCTTCTCAAATGTAGTCGCCTTCTGCTTGATTATAAGCCCTGATAGGGCCAGTAGCAGCACAAAGCTTACCAGGGATGATAACAATTGCTTTATACTCAAATGCTGAATGCTAGTTATAGGCCATTGCATGCGCAATGCAGCTCCCATATTATGGCATTGGGAGAGCAGTTTTGCTTCTCTTATTCAGAAACACTTCTCTTTGAGCAAAATAGAAGCTGAGAAAGTTTAGGTCTTGCAGATAGGTATATATCTCCCCTATTTATGTTGATATGACGTAGGCATTTTAAGGTTTCTTGGGGAGTGAAATGGTGATAAGATCCAAGGCAGCGTCATATGCTTGTTATGGACTCTGATTCATGGGTAGGATAATGCTTTGTACACACAAGCATGCACTTAGCTGCTGCTAGAACATACTCCTTTCGTCCCTATATATCTGATGCCGTTGACTTTTTTAAACATGTTTGATCATTCGTCTTATTAAATTTTTTTTGTGAAATATGTAAAACTATATGTATACATAAAAGTATATTTAATAATGAATCAAACGATAGGAAAATAATTAATAATTACTTAAATTTTTGAATAAGACGAACGGTCAAACATGTTTAAAAAAGTCAACGACGTCAAATATTTAGGGACGGAGGGAGCATATGCTTTAGCTACGGCTGATAAACCATAGAAAAATAAATGAAGCGATAAAAATAGTTTAAGGATAAAAATATATATTTTTAGTGGTTATTGAAAAGCCAATGCTAGAAAATAAACTTTGATGACAAAAGATCCCAAAATTAGCTTTAAAATTTTCAAAAATTTATATTTCGTTAGTGTTACTCACTGATACTTGATGTTGCCTGATGCCTGAGCTCAGTAACTGTAGTTCGATATTGTCATTGTGGCTCTTTTCCTTTGTCATTCTAAAGGGAAAAAAAAAACATGCAAGTGCAGGGCAATCTAAGCACATGCTCATGTCATGAACAAAGCAAGAACGAATCAAGCTCTTCTTTAAGTTTAAGCACGACAAAGGTGTGCAATTTGTAACAGCTTCCAAGAATCTTACCATGATACATTCGAATAATAACTAACCAGCAGTCCAGCACACTATAATGGAACACGAATAATTGAGATTACATGGGCGTATCAGAACGAAATGCACCCGAATCTTGACAATAATGGTGTGCAAATGCATCACGATCAATATATTGCTGAAGTAGATGGGATTAACAGTTTTGTTTGATCAGGTGCCAAAGCATCAATCATGTCAGCAGGCAGATCAGAGATATGGCTTTGTCATGCAATTGCAGGCAAGAACAGATCATATGTCTCACTAATCACACCATTAACACAATCATTAACTCCATGGGTGCCATGTTACTAATGGTTGGTGATCTTTGGATGGTGGCCACAAGTAGTATGGAAGCATCCAATCTAATACAGCCTCAGGAGCTGTACATCTCAATCAATGGATCAGTTTCAGAATTAAACAACCAATTAAGGTGTGGCCTAGCAAGCAAAGCTTAGTATCTCTTATTGCTTAGCCAATTACTAGTATTTACTCAATAATGTATTTTGTCCCCTCCACCAACAAAAGAAAACAAATGGAAATTTAAAATCTTATTAATCATTGTTACTACTCCTTGTCTGCTGCTGTGCACTGCAGACAGTACAGCTCATGGCAGACACTGCATGTTTCTCATTTAGCTAGCAAAGCTTCTGTATTTATATGTGCTAATCAGCCATCTGAAAATTGCAGTCCACTAGTGCAACCAAACAGTCCAAAACTATTCACATAATCCACAAGGGGGAAAAAAGAAGAGAAGAAAGAACAACACGACGATAAATAACATCTGAAAATTGCAGTCCACTACTGCAATCAAACAGTCCAAAACTAATCACATAATCCAAAAGGCCAAAAAAGAAGAGACGAAGAACAACACAACGACTGCAATTAAGATGAAAGCGTCGCCTTTTTTTGTCTGTTGTTCTTTTCCCATTTAAAGAAAAAAGATGACAAGTTCCTAATTTGTTGTACAGCAATGAAAAGGTTTGATTAATATTGAGTTTTATGTCCCAATCCATTGTTAATGCGAGCATTACAAAACAAGTATAAATGATAATATCTCTGCATTGAGCAATTGTTTGGATAAATACAATTTGGTCATTGTCATATAGAGCCGTCCTATTAAATTCGGAGGCATGGTGCGAGGCCGGCCTTAAACTTAAGTAATAAAATAAAATGAAGATAATATCTCATATCATATAAGTTAAGTTATTTTAAAACAGAGGGAGTATGTCCCATCAACATAAAGTAGAAAATATAGTGATGCACTGTTGCAATGATCAATTCATAATTGTATCAACACTACACCAAAGTATTAAACAAAATTAGAAACAATAATGAAAAGGGCTTTGGCTAGGCCTGATTCCATTATTGTTTCAGAAAACACTTTTCATTAGGCCTGAAGGTTTTATCAACACTACACCAAATAACGAAGCGTGCAAATTTGAACAAAAAAATGCAAATTACGAAGCGTGCGCGGTGCGGCGTACACGTGCTTTGGGAAGGCAGCCGAGCACACATTACGGCTGCATCAGGAGTGATCGAGCAATGATGTGATCGATCGATAATTAATCAACGAAGCAAACCTACGTGACATGACTTACCTAGCGACCAAGTCCTACACTTACCAACTGTACATGGTCTAAGAGCATGGCTGTGTTTAGTTCCTTCCAAAGTTAGAAGTTTGGGTTAAAATTGATACGATGTGACTGAAAGGTTGTGTGTGTATGGCAGGTTGATGTGATGGAAAAAGCTAGAAGTTGAAGTTTAGATCTAAACACAGCCCATATAAAACGTTGTATTTAGAGAGAATCCTATTTGAGAGAGAATGAGATATAACCAACCCTATACATTGCAAGATTCTTTTCACCCATTTCCAGCATAGTACCAGACATCAGCTATAGAACCCAGTTCCAAAGGCGATGTAGTATTCACAGTTGAGGGACGCGGCATGCGGCTCAATCGTGCCAGCGCAAAGATTCATTGACACGGGCGCATCCTAACTGCCGCTCGGCTCCTTACTGGGTCACGTTAGACTGTCTCCAACAAGTGACCCATAAATACACCCAAACCTAAAATGGGTCTCTAATAGTACTATTTCAGCCTTCAACAGAGTATCTATACAGAAGATCTATTTTGCATGCTATAAGAGGCGTAACCTAAATTTGAGTATCCTCTCTCCTGAAGACCTATTTGCAGTAAGGGTTCTCTTTTAGACAAAAATAGGTATTGAACTCTTTGACTGTAGCGCTATACAAACGTGAAATGGGTAGCTAGGGTAACTCATTTGAGTTGCTTGCATTGTTATTGCCCTTATGGTTGCCTGTTAGATGCCACCTCTTCCACCTATGGCACCTTAGCTTGCAGACCTATACGTTGCAGAAGTTTTTACAAGGTGTTATTCTCACTATAAAGGTCACTCATAGGATCGCCTCTAAAAATAATCACTACACATGCTCTAAGTTGAAGGCCGGTAAAATTAGGATCACTGGATTGTGTTCGACTGACTGAGAAAAGATAAAATTTTTCTCTTTTTCACATGCACGTTTCTCGAACGGTTAAACGGACGTTAAATGGTACTTTTTTTTAAAAAAAAGTATATATAGAAAAGTTACTTTAAAAAAATCATAATAATCCAAAATTTTAAATTTAAAATAATTAATACTCAATTAATCATATACTAATGATTCACATTATTCTCTTCTCTTACCCGCATCATTATTAGTACTAGAGCAGTGCCCTTCTGTCATCGCTATTATTAGAGCAGTGCACTTGGTGCAGAGATGGACTAGCTCGTACATGAGTGAAGTTGAAGGAAATGATTGTGTTGTGTCGATAAACTATTACTTCACGTGCCTAACAAAAGAAAAGAAAAAACATGGAAAACGCATTTTTTAGATGGCTTCGGTTTTGACCCATTTTATGCTTAATTGCTAATTAATGCCTCGTGACTTTTCAATGTAGTGCCCTCAGAGCACCTCAATTCTCTTGGACCACTCGAATTAAACCCAATATTGGTGTGCACCGCAAAGAAAATCCAACAGTAGAATAATATGGAAATCTTATTTTTACCATTTTATTTATGTATTATTTGAAGAGGAGTCATACTCACTTTTGTGATTTTTTTTTTAAAAAACACGCACACCTTATCCCTGTAAACATCTTCGAAAAATTGAGTAGGCATATATTGAGATTGACGAAGTCACTACGAGCGCATCGATGTCATTGGGTATGTCACTTACCACTGAAAGAAAATAGCCATAAATGTGAGAACTCGTGTCGAGTATATATAGGACTTGAACCCATATAGGCTAATTCCATCCCAAGAAACCTAACCAATTGAGATACGCTTGCTTTGCACTCACTCTTGTGATCTTATCCCGTAGACGGTAATAATCTAGTACGTGATAGTATTATTTATATCTAGCTATGTACCAAAATACTCTATCCATCCCAGAATATAAGACATACTACAGGAAACACAAACGCAAAAACAAAAAAAAATTATCACCGCCGTAATAAATATGATTAGAGATCCTGAAAATAAGAGATAAAAAACGAATTTAGCTAATTGCATGTATGCACATCTATTTATGAAGCATATAAAAAATAGTTGCGCTTATATTTTGGGGATGAAGGGAGCAAAGAGCTGTAGAAATGGAAGATGTAAACCATCTGACAACTCTAGTACTATTATAAAAACATTAACACCATGATAACTGCTCTCTTCGTTCCAAAACATAGTAATATAGAATCGGATGGGATATTTCATAGAATCATAAATCTTAACAGAAGGCCTGTCTAGATATGTTATACTATGAAATATACTAACCGATTTTAGGTTACTATATTATAATACGGAAGACCTAGTTTGTTAGGGCATGCTGTGAAATCATAACCGGTGGCGAAATGTTTCAGCACAAGTATGTAAGGGTTTCTGATCGTTTTCATCGATCCACTCTGGGCCATGGTCATGGCAGGGCGGCCGGTGAATGTACACGTACTTGGCCTTAACCTCTGGGATCGATCAATAACATTGTGGGCGCATGATGCTTGGTAGCTGTAGCTCAGCGACTAGGATTATATTGGAACAAACTGAAAGCATGGGAAAACGTGGGGCGCTATCCTATCGAGCACGTGAAGTGGTCCTCCGGATCGATGCTACCGGACGGCTAGAGACGAATTGAAGGGTCGATGAAGACGACGATTCGATCGCCTACGTCGCCGGAATTAGGCTGCCCATGCCGCCGGCCGACCACCGCTGCATGCGGCCTTAAGACATGCTCACTATATAATGTCCAAGTGGGGTATTAAGATATACTCCCTCCGTGAATTCGTTTAGGGCAATGTTTAAGTCAAATTTTAGAAATATAAAAAAATATAAAAATTATATGAATAGTTTTGTCTTGAAAAATACTTTCATAAAAATATACATATACCACTTTTCAATAAATATTTTTATAGAAACAAGAAGTCAAAGTTGTGTTTTGGAGAGTTTGGGACAGTGACACGGTCTCCATTTATTTAGATTCGTTAACAACAATATGAATGTGGGAAATGCTAGAATAACTTACATTGTGAAACGGAGGGAGTATCATAAATTCGTGCCACGCATGAAACTATAACGACTTTGCGAAATTTGCTTGCAATCAAGTTCATGCGACCGATAATTCAGGAACTGATCGATCGAATGCTTACCTGTCCCAACATTATCTTTTTCTCTAATTTAATCAGTAGTTGCAGACTTGAAACACACTTTATCATGCCCAAACTAATCAAGAGATGACGTACGTAACAACATTTTATTTGTAAATCACTTGTCGCCCTGCATCAGATCCTAGTCAGGAAGCAATTATTGTAATCGATCCTTCGAGCTAGCCAAACGTCACCATTAGCAAAAACATAACTAATCATCTGTTAGTTTATAGATTAGTGCCGCGTACTGACAAATATCTCCTAATCATAGCACTAACCTGTATGTATGACAGAACCGCAAATTCCAAATGACCATTGCATCATCATCACCATATCCGTACTGATGGCAAAGAAATTAAATAGTATGCACTATACAACTAATAATGTGTCATCCATTTCCTGATAAAACAAAGTGAACCAATATGCCAAGTCACAAACTTAATAAATTACAATTTCCAAAACTGCAAAATATTAAGTGAAGTACAATGAGATTGTGTTCTTTTTGTTGAACTTCCCAACTCATCTCTTTTGTTTTTCACGCGCATGTCCCAAATTAATAAACTATACGTTTTCTAAAAGTTTCGGTATGAAAGTTACTTTAAAAATATATTAATCATTTCTTTTTAAAAAACTACTCCATCCGTCCTAAAATATAAGGGATTTGGGAAGTATGTGACACATCCTAGGACAATTGGAGAGGATGTGACACATCCTAACATAATGAATCTACCTAAAATATCTTATATTATAGGATGGAGAGAGTAATACTTCTATTGTATGCCTCTGAGTTTGTCTGAGTTCAACAATTTGCCACTGACATTGTCTATATGTCCATAATATACCGTTACTTTATCAATTGTTCTACAATATACCATTGGACCGGGCCTTACTTTTAAAATACCCAAAATACCCTTGTGAACATACAAGATTAACAATTGATTTATCTCATTAGAAGTTAAAAAAAATTTCATGTGGCCTCCTTACACAACATCAAAGTTTGTATTCAAGTTTCGGATTTTTTTACATTTATATATTTTTTTAAAAAATATATAACTTATTTGTTATATGCTATATAAAATACCCTTTTTTGGTGTTTTTAACATAAATCATCTTTCATACGTTAAATAAGATATTTTTATTCTATTATCTTTTGTGTAAGCAAATTCTATCTCATATACCACACAAAAATATATTTTTTTAAAAATAAATATACCAGAAAAACTTGAAAATTATATAAAAGTTTATGTGTTGTGTAAGAAGGCCACATAAAATTTTTCATATTTTTCTAAAACTTATAGTGAGATAAATTAATTGTTAACCTTGTATGTTTTAAGGGTATTTTGGGTATTTCTTAAAGAAAAGCCCAACCCAATGTTATATCGTAGAACAATTAATGAAGTCACCGGTATATTATAGAAAGAGACAATGTCAGTGATAAACTCAGTGGTACGGAGCAAATTCTCTCCTTAACTAATTATATGTCAATGAGTCGTTTCATTCTACGTGCGTTTGAGATTTCTTCCCAACCTCTACCAACGAGGCAGCCTGGGAGGGGTAGAATCGTCATTACAAGACAAAGATGTCGGCTTCCAATAAAAAAGCCGTTGCTGTCATGTGGGCCCGGAGAATCAGACGTGCCGGGTCTATATAATCCTTTCCAGCTGGTGGCTGCACCACATACAAGCAGAGTTCACCAAGTTAGCTTCTTCTTCATCATCTTCATCGTCTTCTTCTCGACTACTCAATCGGCTTGCCGGCCGTCCATGGAGCTCGCCGCGATCGCTTCCGCCTCGGCCTCGATCTGCTCGGCGTACCGCCACCTCTCGGCCACGCCGGCCGATGACAACGGCGACGACAACGGCGCACGGCCGCTGTCCTCATCGGAGGAGCTCTCGAAGTCGTCGTCGTCGTCGCGGCGGATGGCAAAGCCGGCGGAGCTCCGGCGGCGGTGCTACGCCGTGCTGAAGCAGCAGAGGACGAGGCTGTACATCCTCCGGCGCTGCGTCTCCATGCTCCTCTGCTGGCACGAGCACGACCTGTCGGATTGATCGGTCGAGGCCCGCCCTGCTCGACCCGGCCCACGGCCTGGTTCGGCCCGGCAGCATTTTACGCTGGCCCGGGTCCTGTTTTTTTTTTCCTTTTTCTTTTTTATTTTGTAGCAAGGACAGTGAGTGACAAGAGTCGACTTTGATAAGGGGATCAAACGATGGAATTAACCTTTTAATTCTGAGTTAATTGTGCATGAGTGGATAATGCAAATGTGAGGATGCTGAGGATAATGAGCAGATGCTACCTTACACATGGGAATGTGATGCTTGAGCTTGACAGATAGTTTATGGGACAGCTAAGAATAAAGTCCAAATCAGAGATGAATGATTTGTGACGTGCTCCCTCCCTCGGTCCCTCCCAAAATAAGATCATTTTAGTCTCACCCATTTTTTCCAAAATAAATTAATTTTTAGCAATAATTACATCGAAATTTATGAAAGTAAGAAAAAATTGAAGTGGATAATAATTAATTGAGATTTGATAAAGTTGGAGTATTCTAATCATTTTTTTAGTTTTATGTTGGTACGTATGAGACAAGTGAAAAATAGAGTTAGGCCTTGTTTAGTTGGCGAAAATTTTTAGATTTGGTTGTCACATCGGATATACGGATACACATTTGAAGTATCAAACGTAGTCTAATAACAAAAATTATAGCTTTTAAAATGCGAGACGAATTTATTAAGTCTAATTAATCCGTCATTAGCAAATATTTACTGTATCACCACATTGTCAAATCATGGCACAATTAAGCTTAAACGATTCGTCTCGCAATTTACACGCAAACTGTGCAATTGTTTTTTCCACATTTAATGCTATATGCATGTGTCCAAACATTCGATATGATTGGTGAAAAGTTTTTGTTTTGTGAACTAAACAGGGCATTATCTTTTAGACAGAAATATTGGACGGTACAAATAAATGAATTAATTATTAAGAAAAAAAATAAAAACATCATATACATATGAAGGTATAAATTACACCACTTAAGAGCTCAGGAAGCGTGTCCGTTAATCCATTCATTGAAAAAAAAAGGGCATAGTTTCGAATGCAACATGGCAATTTCGAACAAGCGTTTTCGTTTATTCAGACTGAGCAAGCACTTCACGGTCTCGGCCCAACGATGAAAAACATGATCCAACGGTGGAAAAAATTGAAGATAGTGGCGGCAGCACGATGAACAACTGAACATGTGCAACTCTGATTCTCTGAACATTGATTTGATGCAGAGTACTTGGACACTTATTACGAGTGTTGGAGTTGGGTTTCTGCTTTGCTTCTGCAGAGTGCAGGGTGGTGTTTGTTTTACTTCGTCGTGCTCTCCTTTGAAACGTCTCCTGTACCCTGTTCTAGAAGCAATTTTTGTGCACCAAGTTGTAAAATTTTGTCAAGTTGTGGAACGGATTCAAGTAACTGCAATGTGTGTGTAAAGCTTTCCTACCATATTTATCAGTGAAGGAAATGTAAATATTCACCCAGCTGAGATCGATTGATCAAGGCCCTCTTGGCCTGGGATGCAGTATTTTCCTCGATTTCATATAGGAATCAAACTGTCTTGGATGAAATTTCTGTAAACTTTTGTGAAATACCTAAGGCTGTAGGTGGACTGTGCTACTCACTTATTTGACCTATGAGTAGTTTCACAGGTTGATCCATTTACGGCCTTTCAAATATCCACATTCTCAGGGTGTAAATAAAGTTGACGATACCATTTGTGTGTATATGCGGTGCGGTGGTGCGAATGTGCCATGCACCGTGTTGGAGCTCCTTTAGCTAAATATCCATGCTTTACTATAGATAAAATTAAATTATTCAGGTGTTAATATTGTAATTTGGAACATATTAATTGTGAGGTTTTGGGAACAATTTTATCCCATATATGTTTTTTCATAGCTAACTTATATTTTTGGTATGAAGTAAGATATTAACAACATGTGGAAAGACTAGCTATTTTGTAACATTGAAGCACATGAAGCAGTTAGTAAAATCATACAACAAAGTTGGTGGGATGAAAGATTAACTGCTATCACTATTGCCATCTTTTAAGAGGGTATAGAGTTAGTATAATTCCTCCAAAATCAATTTAAAATTTCTTCATTCGAAAAGAAGGCCTTACTCCTGAATAAATAAGTTTTTGTTATAGCCTTGCAATTTGTGAAACAAAGAATTTAGGGCTTTCAAAGTCCCATCCGTGAGCACAACCTATCATTTTTCTTCATATATACTGTACAGAAATAGTCCACTTTAGATCTCCTATTACAGTCTATCCGTGAGCAACGTCGATGGAGGTGGAGCTCCGCAAAGGTGATAAACTGAGACGATAGTAGAGGCATCCGTGGAGGGGTTGTCCTGCTTGAGAGTGTTCTTTAGCGCGGGTGGTCTCAGTAGTGTTTTTGCCATAGGTGGTGATAGGGACGCTATGCACTCTCCTCCGGTGGTGATGGTGAAAAGGAGGGCTCTGACTTTAGCTCCTCGACCTTCCTCACCATCAGCATGCATGGTATCCATTCTGCTGCCAAGAACACAGTGAGAAGAAAGGTGCACACCTCGAGCAAGACCATTGTGGCAACACTAACAGGGCTGAGGTCACTCGGAGACTCGTATCGCCACCCTCTTTGTGGAGATGGTAGCCCTGGCAATGATGGAGAGAAGGCGCGGCCCAAGCTGGTAGCTGCCATCTTCTCGCCCTCTTGACTGCCATCGCTTCTCCCCCACGGCTAGATAGAGGGAAGTAGTGGATGGTCCAAGAGGTCACTGGTGGTGCATCACTCCATTCCCACAGAATGGTTCGACGCCGTGCCATCGGAGAGGAAGGCGAAGAGTGAGGAGGCGGGGAGGCTAGCGGTGGCCTTCAAGCTGGAGGAGAAGCCTCTCTGCATCGACGCTCGGCTTTATGAGAGGATGAGAGAGAGAAGAAAGAAGGAAAGAACAGTGACATATGGGCCCATGTTTTTTTCCCTTTTAACTAACATGTGAATCCACACGCCACGTCAGATAAAGACCAAGTTAACACGCCATGTAGATAACACGTCAGCTAAAACCATCCTCAAAATTGTCTTGGGACTATATTTAGTTTGTGTTCGGTGGGCACTAAACCAAATCATCGATTAATGCATAATTAATTAAATATTAGCTAATAAAACTTAAAAATGGATTAATATGATTTTCTAAAACAACTTTTCTATAAAAAACTTCTGTGAAAAGCACATCGTTTATTAGTTTAGAAAACATGCGCACGGAAAACGAAAAAGTAAAAATTGAAAAGTGTGGAAAAAATACAATATACTGGTTTTGAAAGATAAGAGATGCGTTATAGATAGATTTATGATTGCCAGATGTGATCGAAATTCGACACCTAGAGGAGGGACTTGTAGTGAACTTTTTCTTATGCCGTACCAGCAGTATAGCTGTGAGTTAGTATTTGATTCCATCAATGACATGGCCCATGGATTCAAAGCAACACGTATCCAAAGGCCAGCCCCTGTTTGCGCGAAAAGGCCGTAAAGCCCAAATTATTCTCTTAAGGTCAGAATAATAAACGATCATTAGGCACTATCTGTACATTTGTTGCTAATTTTTTTTAAAAAAATATAGATATAATTATAGTATATAATCATGGTGTAAGTATATTGTAACTTACATGTAACTACAATTTAACTTATGTATAACTTTAAAAAAATTCTCCCTAACATGCTATTTTCGTGAAACGGAAGTCGTGGAACTGAATCCTCTCACATGTGTGTGTGCTGTGATTTTTTTTCATTCTCACTTGCATGAATCTTGAAACAAATCTAACGATTCAAAATTATATAAAAGTTACATATAAGTTATATTATAGTTACAATATAACTACACTATATCGATAAATATATGGTAAAATTATACCATTATTGCTAACTCGACATGATCAAATGGTTTAATGCGGGAGCAGCATTGCCACATCATGGCATCATCAGAAAATTGGTTGCAGTGACCACTGACAAGTGACAGACCTAGATTTCCGCAAGCCCCGAGCCGAGTCCAATTAGGCCAAGTTTAGATCTAAACTTTTTCTTTAAACTTTCGACTTTTTCGTCACATCAAAACTTTTCTACACACAAACTTTTAATTTTTCCGTCACATCGTTCTAATTTCAACAAAACTTCTAATTTTAGCGTGAACTAAACACACCCACTATCCACAAACCAGCAACAGTGGCAGACTAATGGATGATGAGAAAAAAAAAGAACAATACAAATTTAGTTACGGTATAAAATAGAAGTACAAATACCTTGTTACAGGTTAGATTCTTCTGAAATTTAAAATTGATTGTGGCTTATAAGCCAAAACTAGTTCAACATGAAAAAAAAATAAACTGTAAACTGTAAGGATTAAAAGAAAACGTCAAATAAAATACACATGAATATGGGTGTGCTCAGTACCATTCTGAATCTTAAATTACAAGAACGTTCTCAGTTCCCTTATATAGCTGCGTGGTTACATAGTCACGGTAGGAATTTAACCATGTGATATTTCAGTGGGATCATTTCTCTGATTTTTCAAGATTTATTCATGAAAATTAAGACCTATAGAGATATTTTTAAAAAAATTGTGGGGATCCGCCACTGTCCACAGCACGGCAACACAAACTCTAGCATAGTTTTACAACAAGGACGTCTATGCGGCAAAGCCTTATTAATTAAGTTTCATATACCATGGAATTTTAAGATACAGACAAATCAAGTAAAGCAAATTTGGGGATGTTTTAGACGTGGAGTACACTCATGTGAGATACCTTATTATCTGCACTCCAAGGTTGAGCCTTCCAATCCTTCTCCTATGGTTTTGTAGAGATCAAGATCGTGCATGTCCTTGTTCACTTTAAAGATAAAGAAAGGAGCATCAGATTTATCCACAATGGGGCCATTATGTCTTGATCTAATCATGTCTATTGTACAGCTATCAATTGCAAATATTGACGGCACAAGCTGTTTGAAACACTGTATTTGCATAGAAATTTCACATGAAACAGAGCAATTATATATACTTTGGATATTCCAGAAGGTTCTCTTAATTTCACTCAACTAAACCTTCCTGTTAAGTGCGCAATTTAGAAAAATACCATTAGCAAGATATCAGAGATGTAGTTGTGTGTATGACTTTTCCAACTTTAATAAGTAAAATTCTGCATGCAAGGTGAGTGGTTTTATGGGTTTCGTGAATTTATCTCTACGACTCTACCATAATTCCCTTACACGTACTCTCTCTGGTTTCAA